CGTCTGCGCTACGTCAACGTACTCACGTCCCGCATTGAGACCATGGCGACCATGAGCGCGATTGCTCGCCCCAGCGTCGTCACCGACACCTCGGTGTGTCTGGCTGTCACGCGGCAAATGCACCGACTGGAGACGGCCGAGGCCATGGACACTGCCCAACGGGAGGCCGACGACGGCCGCCTCGACTTCGGCCAAGCCCGCCTCGCAGCGCTCAGTAAGAAGCTTCAACGAGCTTTTGCCGACTTGCGTTTGGATGCGACCGTTGGTCAAGAGAAAATGCTGCTCGACGACTTGCGCGAGTGCCACGACGCGATGCAAACGCTCGCCGAGTACCGGTCGCGGGGTCAGTACCGGCTCACGAACCGCGCTCAAACGCACCATACGCAGCGAAGCAACGACACGGAGACGTCGTGGGTCGACATCAAGAGCGAAGATAGTCTCTGCAGCGATGATGCTGGCACGTATCGCAATGGCACCAAGCGTCGTGTGATGGCCCGCGCGCTCGACATGAAGAGAAAGGACGCGTAAGCGTGGTGTTTGATAGGAAGGAGGGTAGGCCTCGGCAGCAAGAGGCATGATGCAACGTTTGTGTCTGCAGTAAAACAATCGAGGTGCTATTTAGAGCTCTTCTTATCTAGCTAGCTAGACCTCTTCTTATCTTTTTGCTTTGCTACAACATATCATTGGCGGCCAATCACTGACTGTCCATCACTGGCAGAATGGAGACGACCAAGCGCATCAAGCCGACGTCGTTCGGGCAGGCGCTGCCACAGCAAAAATCGTTGAGATGATCATGTGCTACCATGACACGGCTACCGCCTTCTTCTCGGCTTTACATGCGCTTCCTCGCGCTGGGAAGAGCCCGTTTCTCGTGGCGCTGGAGCGGGTATATGATCGTGCCATGGATGCTGCGGCTGATCCTTGACGTCCAACGCGCGGCTTTGGCGTCCGTTGGGCACGAAGCGCTCTTTCCACGCGTGCTCAAACATCATCCGTAAGTGCTCATGGACCCCAATGAGCCAGGCAAGCACCTGTCCCTGGTGTCGCCGGGTGCGGACGTCGTCTAGTGGTACTACGACAGCAGCGTTACCGACCTCGAGACGTCATTGCTGGCGCGCGTGACCAACTTGCAAATTAACATGGTACCGCTTCGCACATTTGCAAAGTATGCTGCGAACGCGCCATGTAAATGTATGTACCTCGCTGAGCCGATCGACGCGCTGTCGACGAGGCGACGCTCGATCGTTTGCCCGCTCACACCAAGCATACGCTGTGCAGGGTGGAGATGCCCGTGGTAGTCGATTCAGCGACGTAGCGCTGGCGTCACTGCGCTTGCCTAAACGATCGCGACCTTTCCGATCACGATGCTGTACTTGCACCATCTCTCGGTGACTGCGGCCGGGGCCAAAACGCTCTACGACGCCTTGCGCACATCGCCGCGCCTACAAAGCCTTCAGTTCGTCGAGAGTGCGCAGCTGGCTCGGTACCTCACAGCGTCGGCAACACCAAGCACATGCTTGCGCTGCCATTATGACCATGACGAAACCAGCCTTGTCTGCTGTGACGGCCTGGAAAGTCGACGGCGATTGGAGTGAGATCAAGACCGCCGTCATGGCGCTTGGGTCCCTGCAACACGTCCGTGAGCTGCCCGTCGGCGTGCAGTTGGCGCCTCTTCATGCCAATGAATACAGCGTGTTGCTAGAGGCCATCGAGAAGCTCCCACTGCAAACGCTGGGTTGGGTCTCGAGTTTCTGCCGACATCGACCCTTCTCCAAGAGCTCGTGGCGTGTCTGCGCCGTCAAGGCTCGGTGCGGTCACTGTACCTATCCCACCTTGGCCATCTCCATCTGCGTGGGACAAAGCTCTCGAGCGCCGGCGAGGACCTCTTGAAGGCACATGCGTGCGACGTTTTTTGCCATTGATCGATCGACGCCAACAAAAGTTACGAGTAAGAAGCGTCCGATATATGTTGCGAAATTGGTCGCAGCGACACAAAGAGAAATGCCTCATTATTCCAAGTGCCGAGGGCCGAGGGGGACAAAAAACGGGGTGCACCACGGCCTCGGTTTCCCCCCGCAATATGAGAGGCTACCACGGATGCCTTCTGTAATGGATGGTGCGTCACGACGAGCGCGTCACGACGAGCTGCGCCAACTTTATGAGTGCGTCGCGCGCTGGCGACGGCGGGTACTGCAGGATGGCGAGAATCGCAAGCTCGGCCTGGACCATCGCAATGTGTTTGCTTTTTTTCAAGCCCAGTGCTGGTCTTGACAAGAGCGGCCGCGAGCTCGATGTCACCAGCGTGGCTGAAACGACGCGCGATGAGCGGCGTGAGGACCGGGAACTCTTCCGTGGGCCAGGAGAACGGGGCTGTCGCGAGACCCGCCTT